AGCCAGTGGTCCCTCCGCTGGGGCTGCAGAGGGGTTGGGGTTCCCATCACTGGCAGGAGAAGAAAAAGCTCCTTGGCCAGCCAGGGGTGGGTGAGCAGGGGGAGATGCTGCCAGGACGCTCAGGGGCATCCTGCCACCTGCCAGCATCTCATGTCTCACACCACCATGTTGTTGCCAGAGGGTTTGCCCAAGTCTTTAGGAGGAGAAATGTTCCCAAGGACAAACTAAAAAGCTTTCCCAGCACCAAGCAGATGCCAAGAGCCAGCAGGTACTGGAGCTGATTTTCTGCCACCAGAACCCACCTCGACACTTCCCTGGGCCAGAGCCCCGTGCCCGTGGGAGCAGCACTGGCACTGTGGCAGTGCTGGCAGCAGGCAAGCTTCTTTGGGGGTGCAGGTGGCTGCAGGGCGTCTCTAAATCCTTTTGACTCATCCTCTGCCTAAGTCAGCATGGGTCAGCACTCATCCTGCCTCGAGATTCTGGCACTGCTTTGTGCCTTACAGTGGTAATGGAGCACACAAGTCATCACCTCCCTCCACATCTGGACAGGAAGGCGAGGTTCTGGCACAGGTGTGAACCCTGCAGTGCCAGTCCCAGGTCCCTCCCTGAGTTCTGCAGCAGCTCCTGGCCAGGAGTGAGCTCCTGCACAGACCCCAGCCTGGACAAATGAATTGCTATTTTCCCATCTGGCATATCCGCAATCCTTGGAAGACTTTTCCAAAGGTACAGCGTGCTCTACACCACAACTGGCTCACTTATTTGACACACTTATTAAACTGTTATTACACCTGTTGGCTAATTATCTCCTCTGGAAACAAGAGGGCACATAAATTTGACATTGACCAGTGCAAATCTGCAGCCCTACAGATGTTGGCCGGGTCTAGGGGGCTCAGTAGGGCTTGGGAGAAGTGGAAGACTGGGAACATGGCTCTGTGGAAGTGTCCCCCTCTGCCCCACCAGCCCATCTTCCAGCAAGATGGGGAGTGGTGAGCCCAAGAGTCTTGGTGAACCCCCTGCATCACACGCCTGGGGTGCCAGCACTGCCCTTCCTGCACCCTCCGCCTTCCTGAGCACAGATTAATCCGGGAGAGCTTTAATCTGCTAAAGCCCTTTCATAACAGCCCTCAAAAATAAGCCTGGAGAGTTCCTAATACTTCTTGAAAATTTGGAGTTGGGATATTTATAGGCTCTGGCCTTGTGTGAGACGGAACTCTCCCAGCAGTGGGTGGGAGGGCTCTGAGGTGGAGGAACCTGCTCTGGGCGGGAGGCACTGCCTGACCTCAGCCCTCGCCCCCCAGCCCGGCCAGCAGCCGCTCTGTGCCACTCCCAGTCTCCTGCTGGCTCCATAACAACCTTCCCTTGTTTGGGATTTTTATGGGTTTTTTTCCTACAAGCTTTTCAGGCTCCTCAGAAGAGCCTCTATGCACAGACCGGCTCTGTGCCTTCAGCCCTTCAAACGAATGCAGAGCAGCAGCGCTTCCGACCAAGACAAACAGCGGCGACGCCACATCCCCTGGGCACGTGGCTGAGGAGGCTGAGGGCAGAAAATCACACACAGCAACAGAGAAAGTTCAGGGAAAAAAACCCCAGGCCCCCAAAATGTACCAGAAATTACCCACATCCACAAAAAGCAGGAGGCTAGGGTCCTGCTCTGCTGGTTTCCAGTCACCACCAGTGGTGGCCATTGGCATCTCTGCCACATTGGTTCTGGTCCTGGAAGGGTCCAGCCAGCCTCTGGACATTCAGGGCAGCATCACAGTGGCATCTGCAAGAGCCAAGTGGGAATTGGCAAGAGGCAAGTCATTGGTTCCACATTTCTCCTGCTCCAACAGATAAAGGGAAAAATATCCTCCAAAAAGCTCTTAGCCCTTTGCCATGTCGTTTTACAAAGATGTGACCAAAGATGCCCCCTGGGCATGGCTGCAGAATTCTTCCAGTTCCAAGGCAGCAGAGCTCTCAGAGAACTGGGAGGTGACAGGAAGATGAGAATCTCCTCTGATCTTACAGAGGCAAAACCCACTCCACATTCAACAGTTCCTTCATCCCCCTGATGCAGAGCAAGAGCCAGAGGCCAGATGTCAGAAGCAGAAATAGTCAAACTGGAGACAGAATGGCATCAGCCTGATTCCTAACAGAGAGGCCCCTGCTCATCCCCTGACTGGGGAGCACAAGGCAGAGGAGTGAGCAGAGCTGCACAGAGCTGCCAGGATCAAACGTGTTGGCCACAGGAATCCAGAACCAGCAGGGATGCCCAGTTCCCTCAGCACCCTGAGCCCAGCCACTGCTGCCTGACCAAGGGCCAGCAGCTGGAGCAGCTCCTGACTCCAGGCAGACACAGGCACAGATTAGGGCTTCACCTCAAAATGTTTCCTTTGCAATTTCCCAGTGATCTTTCTTATCAACTAATTAAAAAATTTCCATAATTAGGCCAGGGAAAATCACGACTCAGGAACGTTCCCATTTCAAAGCAGCACAGATTTGTTCGGTATCAAGGGCTCGGAGCCCTCGCCAGGTTCCCCTAGAACCCTCCCCCATGACCAGGACTCAGCCTGAGCCCACCCCTGCAGGGCCCCGCAGCCCCCAGCCCACCCCAGCCCCTCTCCCTGGCACCCTGCCGGGAATTCATCCTGGGGAAAAGGCTGTTTACGTTGCAGGGGGAAAAGTGGTGGGTTTTATTAAAAAACAACTATAAAGGGCCCTCTGACAGCGAGGGATTCTCCGTGCCTGCAGCCTCTGTGAAGTCAGGAGTGCTTGGGGAAGCACCCACTCTGCCCCACAGGCATGCAGAGCAAAGTTCCTGCTGTGCCCACAGCCTGGCATGCCTGTGCCAGCCCCGCTGCCATGGCTGGGGTGCAGCCAGGCTGGGCACATCAGCATCCTGATGCCTCTGAAATACCAACACCTGCATCAGGGCAACACCAGGGAAGCTCCCACGGGACTTGGGGCATCCCGTGCACGCAGAGCAGCTCATGGCTCCTAAACCTGCAGGATCCCTTTGATGACTGGCAAGTAAATTGTTGTATTTCTAAGAGAAATGGAGCAGTTGTTACCGTGCAGCTGCAGCCTGGGTTTCCTTGAGAGCACAGACATAATTCCTGACAGGGGCTTTCTGACACAGAAATTATGGCGCTATTTTGGAGGCAATCTCAGAACATCATACTAAGAAACAGCCTTTGTACATCACAATATCATTGCTAAATTGACAAATAGATCCTCATGGGCTTCATTATTCTGCTCTGGGTGCACATTTTTGCATTTTTATCATCCATAGAAATGATTAAAGAGCTGCAGAACTGAGGGCTCTGGCTTTGGAACACTGAAACTCTGGTCCTGATCGAGCTGAGAACAGGAGAAGCAGTTGGAAGGGCTGCAGGGCTTGGAAAGGGAATCTTTGCCTCTATGATGTGTAAGTCTGGCACGTTTTGGGGACTGTCCAGGGCTTCCACGGCAGGTTTGCTTTTAGCCCTGGAAATTCAGAGTGTAAAGCAATGTGACTGATATATCCAGTACTGGATTGGGAACATCTGTGCAAAGGCCCTTGCTCAGTGAATAGCAGACTTGTGTTGTGCACTTCTAGCAATACATTGATCTCCCCAGAAACATTAGATAAAAGCCAAACAAGAGGAAGATCCCCAGGAATACAACAAATAAGAGCCCCAAGAACAGCATTCCTTTACCAGCCACCAGCCAATGTCTGAGGATGCTGGGGCAATGCTTAAGGAGTATTTTTGGGTTGAAAAGGCTGTAGATGGCCACAGCCAGGCGAGCTCCTGGTGCCGCTCTCCTGGCTCTGCAACTACAGCCTCGCTGCAGCCTCTGCACATTCCTGCCAGCCCATGGGGATGAACAGCAGGAGGATGCAGGCAGAATGAGCTGGGGCAGCTCTGCCCTGTCCCTGTCCGTGTCCCCCTTGGCCCAATGACAGGAGCCTTGTCCTGGGACAGCTGGGAATGCTAGGCAGAACATGAGCCCCCAAAAACAGTGCAGAGAACATCAGCCAGGCAGGTGGGGACGGATGGGATGGGATGGGATGGGATGGGATGGGATGGGATGGGATGGGATGGGATGGGATGGGATGGCTGCTCTGAGCCCACTGGCAGAACACACTCCAGCAGGATGGTACCTCCTCACCTGAGCAGCCAGGCCCCAACTCTCACCCACCACGGCCAGGACATCCAGTCCTCTACAGTCCAGAACTGGGGTCCAAACCCTGAGGCCAGTGAGCCACCAGTCCCCCAAAACATTTTTTACTCTTGGGACTATTAAACCAGCCTCCAATTTCTCTGTACAGAGGCTGCTGCTCTGTCAGAGTCGAGCAGCACTCGGGCAGCCACAGCAGCTGCTCTGGAGCCCCAGCCAGGCACGATGTGATGCCAGCTCAGGGATGCTCAGGGTGTACAAGACTCACAGCGGGAAGGCTCAGCCTGGCACGACGTCACAGCGCTGCTAACGCAGAGCTCAGCTCTGTGCATTCACAGACGGAGCCACTTCCAGGGTCACACCAGCCTTTTTTTCCAGCGCACGTGGCAGATACAGAACAAGCACGAAATCCACAGCACACGGTATCACCACCCTGCCCTGAACTCTGCATATGGCAAGAGAGTTTCTGCTCGGCAGAATTACACTGGCAGCTACCGAGGGACCAACACAGCTCCTCCATCCCCACGGAGCCCTTCCACCCGAGTGACAAACATCATTCAGCCAAGCCACTGGGCTGGATGCTCCATCGGAAAACACCTGCAGTCACTTTTTAAAAGTCAGTGGTGGTGGATTTGGATGGCAGTGGCTGAAGAAACTCCCAGCCAGGCTGGCAGCCAGGACAGAGCCTCATTTATCCACGGTGGCACTGCCCATTGATGCTATTTTCAGGCATCGTGCCCCACATGCAGACACAGCAGCTCACAAACATCTCCACTCCCCACTCACACATGCCAGGTAACCAAGGAGTGAAGTCAATGTGTGCACAGTGTTGAGCAGGGCAGGGCCAGCTCCTGCCTCACCTTTTTCACTCAAAATTGCTCCCTGTGGGGCAGAAGTGATGCCATACTTCGGGGGACCCATAGACACATCCAGCCCTCGCAGGGACAGCTCCAGCAGCAAGGTGCCAGTGAGCTGGGGCTGATCCCTGAACACTGGTGAATCAGCCTGGAAGCCCCTTAGAGCCCCCAGGAGGGCGATGCCAGGCTCTAGACCCCTCACTTCACACAGAATCATCTCCTGCATTTAAGCAACACTTTCAAATGTTGCTCTGAAAACAAATTGCAGCCTCTTGTGTCAAGCTGTTGTTTTCCCACACGCCCATCCAGCAGGATCGGCGCTCACCGCCCTGCCATGGCGCTGCCAAGGGCAAGCACAGGCACGTCCCTGTGCCGGGATCCGTGGGGTTTGCTCTGGGGCAGAGCAAGCCCCAGCCCTGCCCACCCCGATGCAAACTCCTTAAAAGCTTCCACCATAACTCACTGGTGCTCCAAGTTAACAGCAAAGTCTATTGGTTATAGCCAGGGGAGAGCTGAATCTGCTGAGTGCGGATCCTGCTTGTGCCTCCACATTCCCGGACCAGGGGAATCTCCCACCCGGAGACACAGCCAACAGAAAGCGCTTTTGTGCAGCTCTCTGAAGGTCCTTTTCCATAAGAGCCAAGAGTCCCCGTGGAGGCAGCCAAAGCCTCGGCTCCATTCCCACCACAGCTCTCCAAGTCCCAATCCCCGCATGGACGCACGCAGCTCCAGGCACCCTGCGAACAAGCCAAGGGACACGCAGGGTGTGCTGTGCACGGCGACCAGCACAGCCGGGCCCAGAGGGGCCCAAGGGCCGCTCCACCTCCCCCTGCCCCGGCCGGGCCGCACACCCCGACACCTGGGCCAGCACCGCCCCCGCTCAGATGCTACCGCCGACCCCAGCCCAGCACACACCCGTGGGGGTCCAACGCCGTGCACCCCTCAGAGGGGCACCCGGCGGGGACGAGCCGGGGTCACCGGCACCCAGTGGGTCCCGCTCGGCGTGGGAACCTCACCCCGCGCCAGAGAGGGACTGCGCCGGGTCTCGGTAAAGTTCCACTCAAGAAGTTTCCCTCCTAACCTGAACCCCTCCGGCTGGTCAATGGGGCCGGGGTTCCGCCACCCCCGCCGCCTTTGCCCCGTCGCCAGGCTCCGCCGGGATGTAGCGCGAACATCCGGCCCCGATCCCGATTCCTGGGGCCCCTCCAGCGCATCCCCCCGCTCCCACAACTTTCCTAAGCCTGCAACTCCCCGTGCCCACAGCCCAGCCCCGCGGCCGCCAGTACCGGCAGCCCGGCCGCCCCCGCCCGCCCTACCTGCCCAGCCGCCCGGCTCCGCCGCCGTCTGCAGCATCCTCCCGCCGGCTTCTCGCTCCCGGCCGTGCGAGCGCGCTCTCGGAGGAGGAGGAGGAGAAGGAGGAAGAGGAGGAGGAGGAGGAAGGGGGGGGATGAAGGCAGCGCGCGCGCCGCCGCGGTCCAACCCCCCCCTCGGCGCCGCACGGAGTGGGAGGGGGAACCGCGGCGGCGCATCCCGGTGCTGCATCCCGCAGCTGCATCCCGCAGCGGCGCCAGGGGCTCGGGGACATCCTCCCTCGCGAAACCCTCGGTCACGGCTGCCCCGGGCTGGGACGGTGGGAACACAGGGGCTCCCCAGGCTCTTTCCAGGGGATTTGGGGGGTCCGTAAGGTGTGTGGCTAGGAGCGCAAAGGAGGGTGACACAGCGGGGCTGTGGGGAGGGCACATGAATTTCTGTGTACTGAGATGCCGTGTGCGACCAGCGCCCCGGAGAATGGTCAGCTCTCAGAGGGTTCCAGTCTCACACCCTGAGCGGCAGCAGATAGCCGGGCTCTCCAGGGAGGTGGCACCGCCGGGGGCTGCAGTTCTTTGCCCATGGCAGAACCCCTGGACTCACCCAGGCCCAGCAGGCAGCAGAGAGGGACAAGAACCTTGGCCATGCCCGGGCAGCCCGGCTGCCCAAAGAGGGTGAATCGGAGCCAGGGGCGGGACGGAGGGAGGGGGCATGCAGGGAGATGTTACTTGCTCCTCAGTCATCGCAGCTGGAGCACAAGGTGCCACCAGGCAAAGGCTCCTCGGCTGCCGTGCTCCCGCCTTGTGCTAAGATCAACAATTTAAGTGCAAAACTCTGAGCTGGCCTGTCGCTGTCATCATTGTTAATATTTTAGCAGCTCCCAGAACCTTTCAGCGGGACCACACAATGCTGACACAGGAGAGGAGATATAAAAGCGTCCTGCTGCCCGCCCCAAGGAATACGCTGTCTAGACACGTTATATAATCACATTTTGCCCTCCGCCAGGACACTTTGCAGAGGATCTCAAAGCACTTCCCAAAACTGCTAATTGAGCTTTGGAGCCCAGCTGGGAGGGAACTGCTCTGGCCGAGAGCCCTCTCCTCTGGAGCAGGTACCCAGGGGCTCCTGTCTCCCAGAGCAATTGCCTGCTCACTACTTTGCCTCCACTAAAACACGGAATTGATGCCAAGAGGCAGAGGTGTGATTGGCCCCGTGCTGCCGCTGGCAGAGGCTGGAGGCTGCAGAAGTGAGGGCAGAGCACGTGCTGCTCCAAACCCCTCCAAGCTCATCCCTGCAGGAGGCTCCAGGGCCACCAGCTGCCAGAGAGGGGGAAGCCAGGAGCGGGGAGTCCCAGTTTGAGCTACTTCTGGGTCTATAGATCCTGGAACACAAGTAGGTGGCCCAGCAGCAGCAGATCCCACCTGCCCACACCCAGAGTCCCTTTCCCCGCTGCAGAGTCAGGTCCCCAGGAGCAGCAGTGTGGCATCGCTGAGCCTCATCCTGGCTCATCATAAATCACTTTGGTTTTTCAGAGCCCTTTTGCCAAAGCTCGGTGCATTTGTTTGCTTTGCCATCTGATTTTCTCAATGTAGGATGGTTTTTTTGTTCTTCCCTATAAATAATTACAGGCACTCTAATGGATTTCAAACTTTACAGTACCTTGGCTGTCAGAAGCCTGATGATGATGGTATAACCTTCTTCTCCAAGGAGCAGAGGCAGGGCTGGGACTCCGCCACAGTTTTTTCATTTACTTTAACCCTTTCAGCCTCATCCTGCCTCCACCACAGTGCAGGGAAGGGACTGCACTCCCCTTCCAGGCATGGGGATCAGGAAGTGCAGAGATGAAGCCTCTTACCTGACCCATAGCTCCCAGCATTCCAGCACTGGGGAGCATGGACGCATTTCTTCCCCTCCATGGGAACTCTGGCTTCCCTTTTCCAAGGGCAGCCCTTCACATTGCTACTCCCCAAGATAATGTTTGTGCCAAGACCACGGTCACCCTCAAACATTTTTGGTTTACTGCAAATATCTCCAAAGCTGAAGACAAAACTCTAAACAAGAAGAAGGTCATCTCCAGCTGCAGCACCCTGAAGGGCGATGGGACAGAGGAGCAGAAGGCACAGCACATCCAGCCCCTCCATCACACTCTAGTTGCTCACAAAGTTTCTCCCAACCCCGTTCTCAGTTCTGCACAGCAACTTTGTGCACTTGAAGGAGCAAAAATGATTCTCCAAGGAAACAGGATCAGGCACTATCAGGAAGGAGGGAACTATGAGAAAATAGGCACTGCCAGGAAGGAATGGGCACTATCAGGGCAATGCTTCCTCTTTCTTCTTGTTTCTGGAGCTCAGCAGCTCTGCTTTCAGTAAACAGGGAGTTTTACAATTACACCAATGTTCTACATCCTTTGGCAGCTCTGACATCCCCCACACAGGGAGGTGCTGGCACTGCCCAGGGGCACTGTGGTGGCACCTGTCCAGTGAGACAGGTGATGGGTAGGGGTGACAAGCTGTCCTAGACGTGATGCTTTTGAGACATTACCAATCCCAAATGTGGAACCACAGGACTCCAGGGAAGGAGGATCCCTCCTCCAGCACCCACTGGGGTCCCACAACACTGGCTGTCTGCAGTGCCCAGCTCTCCAGGTGCAGTTACAGCTGTCTCCTTCCTTGGCACTGCATGGCAGGGAACAGCACCAGGCTGAACTCAGGCTTCTGGGCACGAGGGCCATGGGAGACAGGTGAGCAGAGGAGAGCTTGTGCTCAGGGGCCAAGCCAGGGTCCCACAGCCAAGGAAGGTCGGTGTGGGGTGATTCAGGCCCAGCACCACTTTCCAGGAAGGCTCGCTGGCTCCTCGGCCACCACTCTGAGCCGTGCCAAGCTGCTCCGGCAGCTGCCGTGGCCGTTCAGCAGCTGTTGAGCTGTAATTGCTCATTGAGTCATAATTTATTTTTTTTTCCCAGTGAAAGCAGCACTGTCAGGGAATTAAAATCTTTTCAAAAGCCCATAAAGATTTCATAAACGTTTCAGAGCCAGATCAGGAGGGGTTTAGCACCTTCGCAGCCAGGACCCAGAGAAGGTGGTGAGGAGTGGAACATTTGACAGCAGTAACTGGTTAAAAGAACAACAGCACTGGGCAGCACCAGCCCATAGAGAGCTGAGTGAGGCTGCACTGCCCCTACCCACAGCCTGCACAGGGCAGGACTGATCCCCAGCCCATAGCCTGGGTGTGAGGGCCCAGCTGGGTTCCAGGTGGTTCAATTCACCTTGATTCCCATGACACGCTGCTGACATGGGTGGTGGGATGCTAGGATGTGACACCAGACTCCAAGAGAGCAAAAATCTGACAGAGGGGCAGTGCAGCTGCACCAGCCCCAGCTCTTGGCTCCCTCCTGTTTCTCATCAGCTCAATTAGCAGTGACCCAGCTCCGGCCAGCTGGGAAGTTCAGCCCCACAGCCAGTGTGGGCATAGGGCACTGGCCCCACAAACACCCGTGTTTGAATTCAGACTGAGCCTAACGTGTCCTCAATAGCAAAGGTTTGCGCTCTGGAAGAGTTGTAAACACGGAATAAGGATTTCCAGCGCTGCAGCTCTTTCCACATGAGCAGGTGTTCACAGGTGACAGAGGCACCGCATTCCCACCGGCAGCCCCTGCGCCATCCCGGGCACCTGCTATTTTTAGCTGCCTTTGATGGTCTCTCCATGAGCTCTGTAAAATATCTGGGCCAGGCACGCACAGCTTCCACAGCTCCACTCTGCCAGAGCACGCTTCCCAAGGAAGGACTCGGGGATGCTGGACGAGCCCAGCTGGGACCCATGTGCCTTCAGGGATTTAATGGGGAGAAGCTGTGGCTGTGGTTTGCACCCCAGGATCTGCACAGCCACATCAGCAGGGTGATGTTAACCCAAACC